ACTGCGGCAGACTTCCATGATGATGGATATACTCCTTGCCTGTAAGACAAATTGAATAATTTAGCGAAAGTTGGGGTGAGTTCGTTGGCGCAATTTTTGAGTACTATTGCGGGAATGCCATCCGGACCCATTGCTTTGTTTGTATCCAGCTTTTTTAGGGATTTTCGTATTTCTCTGTGACAAAAGTGTACCTCTGGCATACTATGGGAAACCCTTTCAATGAACGGTGGAGTTTTTCCGTTTGGCACTGTTAGGTTGGAGTTGGAGGAAAACATTTGGGCAAGCATATTGGCTTTTTCCTCTGATGTTGTGGCTAAGTGATTATTTTTATCTGTAAGTGGTGGTATGGATGACTTGGTGAAGTTAGATCCAACAGCTTTTGCAAGAGACCAAAAAGACCTAGAACTACTTGGACAATTCAGCAACCTGTTTTTTATTCTTTGATTGTATGTTTCTTTAGCGGAGTCAATAGTAATTTTGCAACTATTTCTGGCTTCTATAAATTCTGTGTGGTTTTGAGCGGTTTGTTGTCGTTTCCAAAGGTTATATGCTCTGTGTTTTTTCTGTACAGCCGTTTGACACTGGCTGTTGAACCAAGGTTTTGCTGCCAAGGTCTGCTTTATCTTGTATGATTTTGTTCAACACTTTGAGAATTATGGAGAATGGGGGGAATGCATAAAATTTCAGAGAAGTCCATGATAACGTGAAAGCATCAATAGCTTCACAGCCTGGATCATTATGCCAGGAAACATATCTACTACACTTTATAACGTACTTTTTTGGCAATTGCCTAATTATACTGCGCACGGCTAGTCAGCATCAATTCGGAGGTCATGGGTTTATGGGTTCCCTGTATACATCTTATCTCTGGGCGCCACCAAGTTAATTGAGACTTAACTAGGAAGATTACTTAATGATGTCATGAACAAAACCTATGCAATTGGAGACCTTAGCAATAAAACAACTAATTAGGTACAATAATGTATCTGGCTTCCTTTATTAAAAATAATAACAATATTAAATAGGGATAGCCAGGACGTTATTAAAAAAATGTATAGATTTAGGCTTGTACCTATTTTATAAATATTTGAATATAAAATAAAAATTAATGTAAATAATATATATTAATATGCATTAATATGCATTTCAAATAAACAAATTTGACTGTGAAAGATTAAAGACCACAGTTTCAGTTACACTCTACCAACAGGCAAATTTAACACCAGAAAGGTGAAAATTATTGTTTGGGCAACCTCAGGGTAAAATTCTAGAATTTTATTTAAGGGGCACGTACTGATCGTAATTCAGTGTCATGTGATTTTTGTAAGATTTACCTAAATAGTAAAAAGTGCAACTTACATATATACAAGTGTTAGTTATCTTCAAATGTATGTGACAACTCAGAAGTTTCTAAAGTGTGGTTAGCTGCATGTTTGGTCTCATTGTAGATCCAGACAGAAGCAGTTAGCAGTTCTAAGTTTGTTCCAGACTATGGTATGGTGAGTGAGTCCTATGGGAGTCCTACCCACGTTTTATCTGTTTTACGTAGAACTCAACGTGGTTCTATCAAAGTGGTACCAAAAGAGTTGCTGAAGAGAAGTTACTAAAGGCCCCAACTAAGAGCAATCTAGATCCAGCCTAGGTCCAGTCTTAATACAGCCTAGGAGCTGTCTAGGTACCGCCTAGAATCCGTCTAGATACAGCCTAGAATCTTCTAAATTCAGCTTAGGATCCGTCAGATACTGCCTAGAACCCTATAACAACGTTCGTATAAAAAAACAGACCGAGCCCAAACATTAAGCTACGTACACACTTTGCGAGGCAGCCTCGCGAGGCTGCCTCTCGAGGCGTGCTTCGCAAAATTATTAGTACCTGCCTCAAATCACTGTCTGCCGCGTTGAGAGGCAGCCTCGCGGTGAGCCATGTTCAGTCGGTTTTTTGGTCGTGCTCAAAGAAGCCTCGTAGCGCGGCATTTCCCAAGTTTGTACGTGTTTGTTGGTTATGAGCGACATTATTGTTGCCTCAGAGCGAGTCAATGAATGACGGCTCGCGTTGCCTCGTATTTAGCTTCTCCCACCACTTCAAAAGTAGTGCGAGGCCGCTCGCACTGCGGCAGCGTCGCGAGGCGTGCCTCGCGAAGCAGCGTCGCAAAGTCCGTACGCGGCTTTAGAAATAGTCTTACCTCTAACTGAGGGATACTCTAGGCCAAAAGTGAAGCCTTAAACTTCCAACAGCTGCTCGGAACGATCCTATTGAAGAAATGAAACACTTGTTGTAGGTTAATAATTCCTGAAGAAAATCTCAACACTTATCGAAACAAAATCCAAAATGAGAAATGACCAAGGGACAACTCTAGATAATGATCAACGAGAAATTAGTCTAACTTGAGTTTCCCCTGGCACAAAATTCCAAAAAGTCTTGCCTAAAAATAATTAGAGCCAAGACCGGACCTCACAGCATGAGGTCTCAAATCAAAAGGGCAGATTCTTCCTCTTCGATTTGGAAAGGGCTTCCAACGTCAAACTTCTAATTTTGACATTGGTGAAAAGTAAGAAAAGGGTGTGTTAAGTTTCATCCCAAACATACAAACTGAAAAGTGTGGGTTGTGTATAAATGACTCCAGATAACCGGTGAATGCTGAAAATTGCCTATAGAACCTATGTCAAAAAGTAGAACAGTCTTAAAGAAAACGCCTAGACAGCGGCAGCTGTTCTATGATAGATGTATGATGGAGCCGAAAAATCAAAAAAAAAAATATAAACAACAACCATCTTAACCTCAGATTATTTATTATTGGATTTGCAAACTAGAGTCGATGGTACTCTCTCCTTTTTATAAGATACTAATCAATAGCAGCGGGCCCTGCGTTACTGAATCAAACCTTCCTAGATCAAATAACACGATTGCAAACCTGAACCAAAAAACTTTTAGTAGAAGGCTGTACTCAAGGTAATAAAATCTGGGCATAGAAAAGATGGTAGTTTATTTATTCATTTATTTATAGTTCTATATGGAATCATATCCACCAGAGCAAAACAAAGTAGCATACTTGAAGAGAAATTGAAAATGCTACAACTTTGTATTAGCTCTAGACGCGAAAAAATCAATTTGTGGTTGGTCAAAAACAGAAATGATCTCTTCAAACGCTTTACATGATAGTTCCCATTCAGTTTCCTCAGACATTATTCTAGAGTGTTTATTTGCAATATTGTCTTTGGATTTGATGTAAGATGCAATCAGCCATACAAACAGCCTATCAAAGTTGCAAAAAAAGTCAATTTTCAACTGTCAATATTTCCAAAACAGTTGAACTTAGGTATAGGGTATATCACATGAAATCTGCTCAGAATTTTATGTAGAATCTTAATATGCAGCCACATATAGGGTGTTTCATTTGAAAAAACAAAGTTGGTCTAGATAGCAAACTAAACAGAAGTGACAGAAACAATTCGCAAATGTAGAAATGTGGGAATAATTTACTGAGCAACTGTCATTAGTGTTACTTTTTCGTATGCGAGGTAATTAAAAAGTTACAGGTATTATGCGCGACTTTTTTGCCACTCTGTATATATTTCTAGATTAGGGACTTCTAGACATATGTCTCTATAAGTGAATGGTAGATTCCTTTCCCACCAGGCTAACTCTATTTTAAGTTTCCCAGAAATAAGTGTTTTACATCCATAATCACCCTCTGATAACTTTAATGCAAGAAACTTTTCATGCTCTATTGTTTTTGTGTATAATTTCCCATACTTTACTGCTGGGCATATTGATATCAGGAAGCCTGCTACATGGGCAAGAAACCTTATTTTGCACTCTTTACTGCTCTTGAGTCTCAATAATGACTTTTTCACTTTGATGATTTTTTCTCCAGGAAGTTTTATAATCATATTTTTTGTATCATAAATAAAACCTAGAAACAGACAGCTGGTGTGCGGTTCTAGGCAACACTTTTCAAAATTTATCAGAAAACCTAAGGACTGCAGTATTTTCACCCCAAATTTTGTATTTTTATTTGCAAGGATGAGAGAATCGTGAATTGAAAATCAATCATCAATGTAAGCCACACATAAAATGCCCTTGTTCCTAAAATGGCCAAGTACTGGACGTATTATTTTTGTAAACAAAAACGGGGCATATGAGATTCCAAGGAGCAAGACTTGGAATTCAAAAAGCTCATTATCAAATTGAAATCTGAAGTATTTTTTAGAATTTCGATTTATTGGGATTGCAAAATATGCATCCTTTAGGTCGATTTTAGTTAGCAAATAATTTTTCTGCAGTAACTTGCAGACTGTTCTCCTATCCTGCATTTTGAAATGGGGAGGTTGTAAAAATTCATTAAGTTTTTTCAAGTTTAGTACAAATCTCTTTTTGCCATTTGGCTTATCTAGTAGAAAATAAGGCGATAAAAACTGCCCTTCGCAAGGAGTACAGACTTTTATTGTGCCTTGATTTAATAGCTTAGCTATTTCAGTTTTTAGAGATTGTTTTTCAGAAAGACATAATGTTGGTTCTTTTTTGAGGGAGTTTTGTTGTGGGGGTATTACAAAAGGTAGTTCAAAACCTTTGATCCAAGATAAAACAGATTTTGACACCCCCAAAGCCTTTCATTCATTGATGAAATAAACGAGTCTACCCACTTCTGGAAGATGTATAAAATATTCACCTTAACTTGCTTTTCCTCTGTGTTTTGTAGTAAGTTCTGTTCGGGTAGGTCCGAGGGTTGGATATTGCTAGGGTTTGGTGATGGGGGCGGTTCGATGGACGATAGTCCCTTGGTCCCTGTCGAGGATTTCCCCCCGTCTTCCTCGAAGGGCCATATGCATTTAAATGATGCTGGCATTTTTTCTGTTGAAAGGTGCTATTACTTTTTACAACTGCCAAGTCTTTTGCCACCTTTTCTGCACCCTTTGCTGTTTTGATTCTCTCCCCTAAGTTTTCTTCTTGGAGAAAAGTATCCACAGGAGTTGCCACCGAGAGGTCAACAACCAATTTATTTAAATTTTGATTGATAAAAGACCTACGTTGGGAGAGAAAGCTTCTGCTGGAGATTTGTGTAGTCGTGTGGTGTCACTTAGTAACTCGATATATTCAGCTTTGGGCACCTCTTCTCTCTCATCATTGATTAATTTATTAACTACATAAAGGAGGTTAGAGATGCCCTTAGCATTCTCTTGTTGACAAGATATTTGAAATGTATCTTTAGTCAAACCCGTTGGCTCCATAGTGGCAACAACTTCTGGGTTTAATATAGGGGGACCAATGTGGACACCTTTTGGGGAAGGATATTCATTAGCAAGTTGGTTATGTACATCTTTATCCAACCCATTGGATGCGATTAGTTAACCCTTTTTGCGGGTGTAAATCAAAATAATTGATTTTACCAACCTCTGGATCTTCGACCCAGCATTCAGGTACTTGATCAAGTGGATCATTATCGACTAGGTTTATTATTTGATATGGAGGCGGGCTTCTCGAGCCTCGGTCTCTTTTTTCAGGGGTAGCCGGACTTCTCGAGTCTCGGACTGAAGGATGGTAGGATGCCGGACTTCGCGAGTCGCGGACATTCCTATTTTGGCTAATACGTTCTACATTTTCGCTTTTAACGTTTCTGAACCTCTTCAATTTGTCTAGCTGTTTTTGCATATCTGCGATTTCTTGCTAGAAATCCTGAACCTCATGGCTCCTAGAGCGGTTCCTATGATGGTCCAGCATTCGTCGCTTCGGCGTTCTGCTAGCTCGGCTACTTGAAGATGAAGATGTTTCTTGCGTGTATTTTTCCCCATTTTTAATTGAACTACTCTAAAAAACACAGGAAAATTATTCAAAGAAAATTTTGTTGGCGCTTCTTTGAGCATAGAAAAAACGAATGACATAACCTGGCTACGATGTGTCATATGTCATATTAGGCATGTAAACTCCTGGAACCCTATTCTCGGAAATTTCTTTAAACACTATGGCGTAGACCAGTAGAACTTAACGTACTACAAGTGAATATTATTGATCTAGAGGACGAAGTGCAGGAGCATATAATTTGTATCGCACACACAAATTTGTGCCGAATGTCACGCGCAACGTAAATTTTTACTAATGTGGACGCGGCTTAACACGCTTTGACAAAAATATGAAATCATCTGCTGTACTGTAAATGAATGAAGAGCATAAAGCCCTGTCCCATAAATATTGTATATGCAAGTTGTTATTTTTAAGAGGAAATTAGCTCTACCAAAATTAACTAGTGACGTCTGGTAAGTTTTTCTTCAAATAAGTATGCAAATAGCATTTTCTTATTATTTATCATCATCCTGAGGAATATAGACATAGGCATATAGTATAAGGAAAGGTATGCTGACAAGGTAACTTGAGGATTCCAGCTTTTTGGGTTTGGACAATTTACCTTTCTCTCAGGACCACCCTTTCACTGTTCACTAACTACCATGTTGGTTGGCTAACAACTAAACTTCTTACTTGGCATTTATTAATTTCTCAAGATATACGATGCCCCACCTACCCACCCGCCCTGTTAGCACGCTTAATAAATTTTAAAATTCATTAAGCTGTGGCGCGAATAAACCAAAGCCAATTTATTCCCATTCCGATCTTCAAACCTTTTAGTTAGACATTCCCTCGAGCGTGACTTAATGTCGTAAGTTGCTTGTATATCCGATTTTTGTTTGCAATTCCATTTATTAACTTGGTAACGCGACGCTCGTATAAATCACATAATATTATTTTATTGTGAAGTTTGACTTAAGTTGAGCTTTGATTTTTGGCTATTGAGTGCAACTAAATTATTTTCCGCGAAAGCTTCAAAGCCATACTTATATACCAAGAATCTGAATATGTGGAATCTCTCAGTTAATTCATCTTGCGTGAACAAATGTACGACTGTTCCAAAATGCAATTTAGTTTTTAGCGAAATGTTGAATATGGAATGAGTAGAGTCTCTTAGCTGGTCGCAAGTGGAAATGCGGAGAAAGTTGCGCTAAAAATTGGCAATCCAGCAAGCGTTATGGTACTATGGTGGAGCCCATTTTACATTGCCTGGATTCTAGACAGTACAGACAGACACTATGATAATTATATAATTATAATTATATATATACGCGCAGGAAGAATAAAATGAAACAATATTGGCAATTCCACAAAAAAAAACGCTTTCCTGCGTAAGAAATTTCGACCTATAATAATGCTTTATTACCAGAAAATACTTATAGCACAAAATTGCTAGACATACACTAAATCAAGGCTAGATTTTTGCGAATATGGCCCATTTAACCATCCACACTTAAGCATAAATAGAAGGCATTCGCAAACGTGCAAGGTCAGTTAACAAATCTTAAAAATAATATATACATCTACTTGTATACAAAGTCATAACAAACAAAAACAAAAAATATTGTTTATAATATAGCTCACACAAATTAAATATAAACAATAATGATCTAGTGCGTGGAATGCTCATAATTATGTATTCATAGAAATTTAATTTACTTTATATAGGGCTCTTTGTAATTAATGTGATTTTAGAGCTATGTGGAATTTAAGAAGAGGTGATATGGACTTGATTACAGATGATTGTGCACTTTTTTGCGTTGTACCGAATGGAGCTTTCAATTAACTCCGAGAATGGAGATTGCAGGTGAAGATCATGCTCCGCATCTCTAAGTAGATAGAAATGGAATAAACTAAACAGATTACGAGCCAATAAGAAAGTATCGACGACATCGATACTTGAAATTTATGCGGATGATAACGTCGTGATGGCCAAAACAGAGGAAGATCTTCAGGCAATTATCAATGTATTCAACCAGGCATACAGCAGAATCGTCCTGGAGGTCAACGGAACAAGGCGCAGATTCTGCACCAACCCGCACCACTAATCCCCAAGCCCCAAATACAACTATAAATGACCATTCTTTGCAGGACGTAGTACCCATACCGTAGGAACCATACCTTGGGAGCCATCTTTCAGCGAATGCAACCATTGACGCTGAAATCCAACATCGCCTGGAAGTGTGATAGCGCGACGTTTAAGCGACTTCTAGAGAGAGTCTTCAACAATCACGACATCAGCGCTGAGACCAAACTTTGCGTCTACAATGCAGTGGTAATACCAACACTTAGGTACTTATGGCTGCGAAACATGGACCACCTGCAGAAGACACATAAAAAACCTAAAAAAATACCACCACGAAAGAAACATTAGTGTTTTAGAGGAGACCAAACCAACTAGCGTGGAGGCCCACATCATTAAGCACCAACTTCGCTGGACAGGTCAACTCGTCCGCATGCCCGAAATACGTCTTCCAGACAGAGATGACAGCAAATGAGGGGCTCTCATGGCGTCGAGTAGTCCACGACAAACAACGAACTTTTGAAGAACAACGACGCAGACACGCGACCAAAAAGAGGGACCGCAGGAAGGAGCGAGAGAACAGAGGAAGAGACAATGCTGCCAGAGACGGTGTGCCAAGACTGTGGAAGAGTGTGCGGCTCCACAATTGGTTTTTATGTATAGCCATGAGAACACGCACAATCGACGACAATAAGGATGAAATAGGAGATAATTATACTTGGTATCGAGTGATCGCCTATGATGATGATGAACCTCTCTGAAATACCTCATACATGTTTGGGTTAGTTTAATCAGACTAGTTTAGTATGAATGAGGAAGAGAGTGTGAATATTTTATAGTTTTGGAAAAATCTTGCAAATGGTTTCCATTCTTCAATCCTAAGTAATATCGAATTGTTCCTTTTTGTATATTTACCGTTAAATTGAGTCGCACATCAGCTCATCCAGAATGGAAGGGCGTATCGAAGAAGAGAGCAAGACCTTTCTAGAACTCGAAAAGTCAGGTTTATTAGAATCTTATCGAAAAACAAGCGGAACTCAATTCTGTACAAATCATCGTTACATTCCAGGAAGTGCAAATGGTTTCCATTCTTCAATCCTAAGTAATATCGAATTGTTCCTTTTTGTATATTTACCGTTAAATTGAGTCGCACATCAGCTCATCCAGAATGGAAGGGCGTATCGAAGAAGAGAGCAAGACCTTTCTAGAACTCGAAAAGTCAGGTTTATTAGAATCTTATCGAAAAACAAGCGGAACTCAATTCTGTACAAATCATCGTTACATTCCAGGAAGTTGTCCATAACGTCGATAGTATTGGTTGCTGTGAAAAGTCACAACAATTTTTATTTATTATTTTTGTTTTTACTCTGTTTAAATGTTCGAACAAAGTATTTTAGTTTTCTGTTTTGGGGAAAAATGTCGACCACTTTACTAAAGACGCATAATCTAATTTTTGAACATAATTTTTTTGATAAAGTGTTTTCATTCGGACTTAATGGCCGTCGTAAGTTGGAATTTTTTCCTGACGTTTTGCTAGCACGCGTGGCTGGCATCTTCAGAGGTGCTTCCATGTCCGATTCTCGTAGCAGACTGTCTGCAATTAATTATTATAGATGGAAGAAACATTTATCTTCATCTTCCTTTCAGTTTAGATTTAGTTTAAGTCATTATTTAAAATTACATAGGTAGGTTGTTACCTATTTAGGTGTTTGAAACATAGGTGTAATGTGTCTGTCAAAAAATTATCATCAATCTGTCATCATCACAAATCAGCAAAAAATACTGTCCAATGTTGTTTTACTAGTCCTAAATATATTTTCTTCCCCAGTGGTCTTATTAAGTTCAATAGGTTGCAACGTACTTTTATATGTCAGAACTTCAGTTCTCGCGCCATGATTTAATGGTATAGAATTCGTTGGACATGATTCTATGAAGAGCTACAATATCCAGGTTGCTCCAAGTGAAACTGATATCATCAATCATCGGCAAAAAGGCAGATTTCACCAGCCTCAACACCAAACCCTGTGGAACTTCTCATTCTATTGGCTTGCATGCTTGCATCGTATTAACCCTCACAAGCTCATAGCCTATTTTATCATAAGGCCCGGGCCTTGGGCCCGCTGTAAAGCGGGGCCCCGAAAAAAGCTTGAAAAAAAATTAACATTTCAATTCGAAAATAAACACTAAAAAAAAAACGTATATTCCGGTATCTGTATTCAGCTCATCACAGTCATCACGGACAGTACAGTGAAAATCATTGCAATTGGCACACACTATATAAACATCCCCCGTAATGTGTCAAAATTTTACTTCTTTGACCCACAGGTAATGTCAAAATCGTATCAGCAGATTGATAAATCAGTGGTGAACATAAGTTTTAAAAAACTGTTAAAGGGAAAAAATCGAGAAATAGTATATTTCCTAACTAGTGCGGAAAGTGCGGAAAAGATACTTTCCGCACGAGTTAGGGTGCCAACATTATTTTGTTTTTCATAATGCTGATTTATGTTGCATTTGAAGTTTTTCGGTTGTCACCCTGAACTACATGAATAAATACACGGATAAATACACAGATGTAATACGGGCATAAGATAATTTTTTTTACTTTTCCGTATCTATAGTATACCTGTATACCTGTAAATACCTACCTGTATACTTTAAAATTTCAGGTATTCTACTTTTCCGCACTCACTACGGAAAAGAGGTTCTTTCATGACCTAAAATGCGTGCTGAAAAGTGCACTTTTCCGCACGCTCGTAGAAAAAAAATGTACACCGCTGCACTAAAT